TGTGGGAATTGTTCTTTATTCTGGATATTACAATTTAGTTTTTATTAATGTTGCGAAATTTTTTAGTCTACTGCCTTTTAAAAAAAAGTATGGTAACTTATTTTATGCAGATTTAATTTTGATATCAAATTTATAGTTTACAAATTATAATTTATCATTTGTGTCACATTTGAGAAATTCCTTCTTATCTTCATTTTTGAAGATATTTGTTTTGAATTTTTGAAGCTATCTTTTCACATTTAATTCTTAATCTATATGGATTTTACCTTTGTGTCTTTTAATGAGCTAATAAAATATATATTTATTGACTATTCCCAAAAATTATAAGGTAATTCTGTCATTTACCAAGTCCATACCTCCGCATGGGTCTTTTTATGAGTTTTTATTATGATTACTTTTTACGTCATCATTATCTAATTATCTATATCTAATACAATACTGCTTTTCCTTTTTTTCTTTTTTAAATATATTTTATTGATTTTTTTACAGAGAGGAAGGGAGAGGGATAGAGAGTTAGAAACATCGATGAGAGAAACATCCATCAGCTGCCTCCTGCACACCCCCGACTGGGGATGTACCCACAACCACGGTACATACTCTTCATGGGTCGTTTTATGAGTTTTTATTATGATTACTTTTTATGTCATCATTATCCAATTATCTATACCTAATGCAATACTGCTTTACTTAAATTACTACAGCAATGTGTCTTAGTTTGTGATAGGGTATATCTTCCAATCTTGCTATCTTTCTCCAAAATTGTTATAGCCCCATATAGTCTGAATTGTAATTACAAAGTTAAATTCTCTTTGGAATTATGATTAAAATTGAATTGAGCATATAGACTAGTTTAGAGAGATTTGTCATGTTTCTTTATTATATCAGTCAACATTTACTCAGCCTTTTTTTATTTTAGTTCAATTTATATTTCAGTTAAATTTGATATGTTTGCCCATAAAGATCTTGTATAACTTTTGTCAAAATTCATTAGTTAATTTTTTTGGATTATTAATGAGATGGTATTGTTACAAAAATTAATGATTATGGTTGTGATGTAGAAATGTTGATATATTTTTTATTTTTTGTTTTCTTTCAATGTTATTTACTTTTGAATAAAAATATCAAGATTCAAAATTTAATAAAGACTGCATAGTGAAGTCTCCCATATACTCCAATCTTAGAGCTATGAATTTTACCTCTCCCAGGAAATTAATGTGATTAGCTTCTTACATACTACTTCTTGAGATATTTTTCATTTATATGCATAATATGCATAAACATACATACATACATGCATATACAAACCTACAGACATATACGTATATATCTGTATATAATTTTTATATATCCATAACTTCTTTTTAAATAAATGCTAATATACTACATACATTGTTTTACAACTTGTTTTTTTCTTAATAAAACGAACTGAAAGAAATTCATATTATTATATGATTTTTTCTATTCATTCTGTGGTTGCAATGTTTCCCATTGTGTGAATGCTTTAGAAATTGTTTTACCTATACCTTATTAAAGAATATTCAAAGTGCTTTCAAGCTTTTGGTGTGCAAGAAATGCTCTAATAATTTAAGCAAATTACTACATATGTAATTTCACACCTCTTCAAATCTTTTGCCCATTTTAAAAACCACATTTGTCTGTCTTAATTTATTTATAGTATTTTTTAAAATATTCTGGACTCACTCCTTTCTCAGATATATTATAAATGTTGTCTAGTCTGTAGCTTCATTTTTTTTTTACCTTCTACATGTTGTCTTTTGTTGAACAAAAATTAACTTTCATAAAGTCAATCATCTCTTCCATGGTTAATACTTTGATGCCCTGCTAGCTTGGGTGGTCGTCCCTGCCCTATTTGTGGTCATCACCATTAAATTTATGGTGTACTCTACCAGCTACAGAGAATGAAAAGGAACATTTACTGCTTTATTCTTGAGTCCACACCAATAATTAATGTCAATTCTCCCTCTTCCTCCAGCTCTAGGCTTGGATATACAGATTAATGTTCATGTTCCTGACACAAAAGGGATCGTGGTGGAGTGTAACTCGGGAGGGTGGTACCCACAACCCCAGATGAAGTGGAGAGACAGCAGAGGGAATATAGTTCCAGCCTCATCAAAAACCTTCTCTGAGGATGGAGCTGGATTATTGCACCTGAAGACAAGTGTTCTTCTAAAAAACAGTACCCATGGACCTATCACTTGCTGCTTTCATAACCCAGTTACTGGTCAAGAGAAAAGGGCAAGTATTGTCCTACCAGGTGAGTACCAAGGAAGAATGGTTTCCATCAGTGTGACTAAAGATAAAATTAGGTGAAATAACAAATGAGAAATTGCTTTATAAACAGTGAACTGCTGTAGAATGCAACATTTAAACCTTATTAAGTATCTAGACACAAGGAAAATACCAGATGCTGAGGGAGCCTGTTCTTAAAAATGGAAGGAACTGTAATAATTAAAAAAAACAACCTTATTCTGTTTAGCATCTCAAGGCTTCAAAAGTTATATGTCATTTGACTGCTAGATTCACTATTTCTAGCTTTATGAACTTGGATGTCATGTAACCTTCAAGACCATTGATTTTTCTCATTTAGAGATGGTAACGTATATTTTTTGAATTTGAAATAAAATAACACAAGTAGGCTTTATAAGACATAAAACAATATGTAGAATTAAGGTTGATTTAAAAATTATGTATGTCATAAGTGGACTGTATTACTACCTTGTGAAGAAATAGACATGTAGAAAAGTTTGTTACTAAAGATTCAGCAACTGATAAGTGATATATCCAAGATTAGATCCCAACTCCTCACAGGATCCAGGGCTATTTTTCTCTGGTACAGGGTGGCTATGATCAGAGAGGTTAGAGGCCAACACTGTAAAATTGTGTTCTTTGTGCTTCAGCTTGTGACTAGGTCTAGTCCCCAGACAAATTAAGATGGATGGAAAGGACAAGAGGCAGGCAGAGTGAAAGGATTCATTTTAAGTAAGAAAACATCTTAACTGTTACACAAAAACCCTGCCCCCATCAGCAGTTCAAACACAACGGAAATCATCAGATAGTTCATATGGCTGTACTCCTTCATGGTAACTCAAACACTCAGGTTCATGTGGATTGTTGACCATCAATCCCCTTAAAGATCTTGAAAACCTGTTGATCAAGCAAAACTAAGTTTATTAGACCTAAGGCCATAAGAGAGAACATCATCTTTACATTAATAGCATTCTAGAATGGGTAATTAGGCGAGGATATTTATAATTTTAGAGCCTTTAAAATTTTTAAAAAATATTTTTGTATTGATTTCAGAGAGGAAGGGAGAGGGAGAGAGAGATGGAAACATCAATGATTGGAGAGAATCATTCATTGACTGCCTCCTGAATGCCCCCTACTAGGAATTGAGCCCAAAACCTGGGCATAGGCCCTGACTGGGAATTGAAACATGAGCCCCTGGTTCATAGGTTGATGCTCAACCACTGAGCTATGCTGGCCCGGCATACTGGGTGATTTTAAAGTAAGTCTTGCAAGCTGAGAAACTAGTTAGAATTTGCAGTTTATAATATCACTAGAAGCCCAGTGCATGAATTCATGCATGGGAGGGGTCCCTCAGCCTGGCCGGCCATCAGGGCCGGCTCAGGGAGGGAGGACCATGGGAGGTTGGCCAGCTGTGGGAGGTTGGCTGTGGTAGCACACTGACCACCAGGGGGGAGCTCCTGTGTTGAGCATATGCCCCCTGGTGGTCAGTGCGTGTCATAGCTACTGGCCGGTCGTCTGGCTGTCTGGTCATAATGGTAACTTAGGCTTTTATATGTATACTAGAGGCCTGGTGCATGAATTCGTGCACAGGTGGGGTCTGGCTGGCCCACCCCATCAGGGCCAATTGGGCAGGTCAGGCAAGGGGGAAGGACAGCAGGCGGTTGGCTGGCTGGCCCCACCCCTGGTCAAACTCCTGGTCAAGGGGACAATTTGCATATTAGCCTTTTATTATATAGGATAGATAACTTTCAATTAGTGAGCATAGCAATATGAAGGTCTTGAAGTGAGTCTTGATGAGTTCATCATTAGTTTTGTTAAATAAGCTATTTTAGTTATTATCTCTCAGGAGCATGTATTTACTGGAGGCAGTAGCCAACTTATTGTTGCTTTCAGTTGCATAGTATAGGGACAGGAACAATGCCTAGCACCAAAATAGTTTATCACAAGAACAGGAAATTGATTTGTTCTTGTATCGCTTAACATAGGGACAGAGAATTATTTTGGTCATTTCTCAAGGGGGACTATTGCTGAAAAGGAGAAAGAGAGGGCATTCCCTGAGGGACATCATCAGTGTCTACCAGAGGGACTTTGGATGTGATCTCAGGTCAATTGTAGCCTATTGTTACAGTACTCCTGAAGAGTAGGTAACTGTTTAACTAGGTCCAATTCACAAAGGCTTAGTATTAGGGAATTACAAAATGTTCTTTTTCCTCATAGTCATGGAAGTATAATTCGGAAGTTGATAAATAAATCTTGGAAGCCCTTTTCTCCTGTTCATCAAAACCTCACTTTATGTGCTTGCATCTCTTTGTAAACAAAAATTAACTCCCTTAGTTAACTCACAATTTCAATTTTCTCTTTTACTTCATGAGAGACTTACTTTTGGTTTCCCTTTCAAGCCTACATTTATATTATGAGTCATTCAGGAATCTTGGACTAGCCGACCTATTTAGTGTTGTTGAAACTAAAGTATAAATGTAGAACCTTGGATCCCATGTCATTTTCTTGTGGATTTTTTTTCCATTTGAATGAAAATCTTTCATAAAATGAAAGAGCAAATTCGGTCCCAGTGATGGCCAAGTAAGGGGTGAATGATATACCTTGACAATGGAGCTGTTATTTTTGTATGTTATGTATTTGTTGTTGCTAAAATTCATGTGTCCCTCAAATTCCAATTGTTTGGTGCCAAACCCTGCTTTACTTCAAACTGGTTTTTAATTTACTACATTAAGATATTTATTTTTGTGTTCTGCATCTGAAAATTACACTATATGGAGGTATTGCCTGTATGCTTCTATACTTTGTTTTTATCTGTTTCCAAGTTCATCTTCTTCATTCTCTGGGAAACAATACTTCTCTCTTTTTACAATATCTCATACACAAGGCTTTTTGAACCCAGGTCACCAGTGATTGGTATTTAATGGTACTAACTGCTGCTATAGTGCCTGCTACCACCAAACAGAGCAAATGCTGATATTGCACTTTCCCTATTTTCTGCACTTTGAGGACTTTCATGCTCTATCACCACTCAGAAATTTTTAACCTTAAAAATATATATTTTTTATTGGGATATTGAATGTTTACTCCTGGGAAAATTTTTCTGTCACATTGGTCCTAGCCTGAAGGGAATTTAAACATTGAATGTCAAAAGACTTTTGCAGTTTTATTTCTGAAGTTTCAAAGCTCTTATATGTATATAAATATTTTAAACTTCCTAGAATTTTACCAGGGGCACTTCTGATCTAGTTCCACAGCCATTGGCCTCCCCAAATCCCCCATATATTGTGGTGCCCAGGACCCTGTCCTGTAATTTCCCTCATCTCATAGATTTGTCCCCTGGAATATAAGAACAGAAGTAGAAAGTTATTTCTCCATTCAGTCCTGTTCCGTCCTTGCCCAATAACTCCCAAATCCTGGTCTTTCCCCTAGTCCAGCTACACATGCCAGTAGCCCTGGTCTGAGCCCAGAGTGCATACATAGTACAGAGTGTAATAAGGGCCATAACTGGGTATCCTGCTTCCTTAAAGCAATATTGCATGCCCCTTGGAGTCTTGTGATCCTGCTGCCCTACTTATCAAGACTTTCATTTTGCTCTCTCTCTCAGATATCCTGTTAACATCGAAGTATATGTCGACAATGTGGCGTATAAAGTCGTGGCTCCTGATATATGTAGTACTCTTTGCGCATTTTCTTCTGTGTTTGAGATTAAAAGGTATTTCATTGTTATATTAAATGCTTAGAGAAGGTTCATACAAAAAATGTGTAAACTTGCACATCTGAATCTATCTCACCGCTATATTTGCCAAAGAAGGTCTCAATGTCTTTAGTTATGCTTCAGGTTAAGCTGCAATTCTCCCTCCTTATGTGGCTCTCAGGCTGCTGCTATTGTGCCTATTACCATCAAACAGTATTTGGCCCTGATCCCTTCATAGCCATCATTACTTATTTCCCAACACTTGGAATTTCAACAATATTAATTCTGTTCACTTCCATAGGCAACCATAGATAGACTTAGCACTCAAACTGTTCAGAATATTTTACTTTGATAACAAGAGGAAGAAAAATAGATGAACCAATATCCAGATTATTTGGTCCAACTTAGTCTCCTCTTACTCCTTCTTTTGTGCTTCCTATGAATCTAACTTAAATATATTCTCTTTCTTCCTCATTAGAGGTAGGAAATAGAATCTTAATTTCAGGGAACTGAGGGCATAGGGCAGAGTAGGTATCAGGTATATTTGAGAATAACCTCTTAAGTATTTGACCTTAGGAACTTCACACCATACAAGGTGAATAACTGAAGTGATAAATTATGACATCAAATACTTGACATACAAAATATTTCCTAAAGGAAAAGAGTTGTCATATTTCTAGGCTCTTTTGGATGGAGGAAGAGAGGGACTGGGAGATTTGGGGAGATTACTTAATCTATAGTGACATATACAATTCACAAGACAAAGTGCTTTTTGAGAGCTCTCATAAAAATTAGATTTATCTATGATTCAGGAAACATAAGGCTAAAAAAGAAAAGAAAATTTGACTTGCTCAATTTATAAAGACCTGCATAACTTTGAATTAGTAGTTATCATGTGCCAGCAGATGTGATAAACACTTTGTAGTAAATATCTTATTAACTTCTCCAAACAATCCTATGTGGTAGGTTCTATTTATTTTCAACACTTTTAGATGAAGAAATTAAGAATCCAAATTTTTAGGTGAATTGTTCAAGCTCAAACAACCTATAAATATAGAGTCAGGATTGGAACCTAGATATTTTAAATGCCAAACACTTTGCTCCAACCATTGTGCTCTTCTTCATGTTGTATATGGGTATCAAGACACCTTTGCATTCTTGGAGTGATGGGAAGGTCACTAACTCATTAGACAGTTTGACTTATTTATTCATTTATTCAACAAATTTATATTGAGCACCTCCTAGAGCCACTATTCCAGATATTGACAATACAGTAAGGAGGTGGGAGCCAAGAGTCTTTGCCTTCATAGACCTAATTTTTAGTGTAATATGAGAAAATTCTTCCTTTTTGAACTTTCTTGTTAGTAATTGCTGGTATTTGTTGACTTAACAAACAGTATTTTTTCTGCCTGACTTGTATATTTTTTTACTTTAAATATATTTTTTTTATTTTTCAATTACAGTTGACATGCAATATCATATTATCTTCACATGTACAATCCAATGATTAGACATTATATAACTCAACTAGAGGCCCGGTGCACAAAAATTTGTGCACTGGGGGGGGGGAGGGGGGTCCCCCAGCCCGGCCTGTGCCCTCTCGCAGTCTGGGACCCCTCGGGAGATAACGACCTGCTGGCTTAGGCCTGCTCCCGGGTGGCAGAGGGCAGGCCCAATCCCTAAGTGCAGCCCCTGGTCAGGCTCAGAGCAGGGCCGATTGGGGAGTTGGGGCGCCGCCCCGTCATGCACAGAGCAGGGCGGATCGGGAGGTTGCAATGCCACCCTCAGTCACGCTCAGGGTAGGGCCGATTGGGGGGTTGGGGCACCGCCCCCTGTCACACTCAAGGCAGGGTCGATGGGGAGGTTGCGGCGCCACCCCCTGTCACGCACAGAGCAGGGCCGATCAGGGGGTTGGGGCGCTGCCCCCTGTCACTCACAGAGCAGGGCCAATCAGGGGGTTGGGCACTGCCCCCTGTCATGCACAGAGCAGGGCGGATCGGGAGGTTGCGATGCCACCCTCACGCACACTCAGGGTAGGGCCGATTGGGGGGTTGGGGCACCGCCCCCTGTCACACTCAAGGCAGGGTCGATGGGGAGGTTGCGGCGCCACCCCCTGTCACGCACAGAGCAGGGCCGATCAGGGGGTTGGGGCGCTGCCCCCTGTCACTCACAGAGCAGGGCCAATCAGGGGGTTGGGCACTGCCCCCTGT